ACCCCCATGGTCGTGTCTATGATCCCTTCTGCCCAGGGCCCCGAAACAACCTGTACATGCGCATGCGCATACACATACACACACACACACACACACACACACATACACACACACACACACACACACACACACACCATGGAAGGAAGATCAGGACAAAAATGAATGGAGGTGGAGACCTGGGGCAGCTCAATGGTGAGGCTGAGAGTTTGACCCCTGCACCACCCTCCTTGTAGAGCACGATCCAGGTCAGTGCTGCCCCCAGGGTCCCTACACTCAATCTAAGGCTGTGACCACCAAGATTTAGCATGTGTGCCCTCTGTCTTCACAGCAGCAATAACAATGAAGGGAAGGGGAGCAAATTCAAAAGAAAGGAACAGGAACGGAGCTGGCCATCTGAAATGTTCTAGAACAAATGGCTCATGGTGCCACAGTCAGGATGCAGCTCCGAGGACACTGGCATGGTGGTCCATGGGGTCTGAGCATCACTGATCAACATGGAGGAGTTTCCAGGGACTTCGGATGAAGGTGCCACCAGCAGCTTTGTGGTGGCTCCGGGGATTGCTCCTCTCTCTGGCCCCTCTTCCCACCTTTTCTGCTCAGGGGCATCAGGATACGAAGGTGCAGGATCCAGGGGATCCAATAGGAAAGGGCCACCAAAGGTCTGGTTATCTGGTATCCGAGGGCATGACTACAGAAGGTGTGGCATCAATGTAGCATCCAATCATGGATGGTTGGTTGGTATTTTGGATTTTTCTAATTTTCTGATTTATTGCAATTGCTTCTCAATCCAGATCAAGTTTTCTAATCTAATTTGGGAATGTTATTTTTAGAGAAGGTCCCTAAGATGCACCTACTCCGTAAAACCCGGCTGCCTCCCACCAGGAAGAACCCCAGAGGCACGTACAGGGCCAGAAGCTGAGGATCTGTCTGGAGGTAGGGGCAGCAGCCCCCAGGGACAGCCAGTAGTACAACCCATGCACTGGCCATGTAAGGGTCACCTAGCTGAGCCCCTGGGCCCTGTCCGCTGTCCAATTCCAGGCCATACTGGAAAGCAGTGAGACCCTCCACCACAGGATCCTCTGTCTGAGACCCACCAGCAAACCAGGGACCACTGGCTGTAGATGGCTAGAACTCGCTTGCCCAGGAAAGACTCCCACCAGTCACCCCCGGGGGACCCACCTTTCCCAGCAGCTGCCCACTGGCCATTGGCTGCCACAGACTCCAAGGGAGGCCCTTCCAGCCCCACTCTACCCTCAGGGCAGCCCCAGGGCATCTCCCCCTAGACAGCTTTCAGAGGACCAAGGAATGCAGAGGGACATAAGAGGATTGAGCATCTCATTGTCAAGCAGTGAGAAAGGAAAAGCAGCAGCTTCCACATTGTGTGAATGGAGGATGTCTGAGCTTTCTGGAATAATCCTCCCTCCCTGCTTCCGGTAGAATTCTGCACGCAAGTCTCAGGGGAAGCAAGCAGGGGCATGCCAGGCTGCTCTGAGAGTATTCTCTGGTCCCAATCTTCCCAGCAAGCCCCAGGCCCTTCCAGGAAGGGGCCGGCATCTCAGAGCACCAAGGGACTGAATGCATGTGACTTCTTCCGGGGGAGGGGGGTGTGGGGGGGGGGGGAAGCAGGGGGGCGGGGCTGGCTGGCTGGCTCCATTTCTGAATCCAAGGCTTCCCTCCTGGCTCCCCAGCCAGCACCACTGTATAACATCCTGGCCCTGCACTTACAGAGTCAGGGAACCCAAGCGTTCTGTCAGTCTTCCCGATAGCCGTGAACTTGCGGTTGGTCCCAAAGATCAATTTGAAGCCCCCACCCACAGTCCCTGCTTGTCCAGCATAGACTGGTCACATCCTAGCTGCAACCCCATTCCCATGCATGTCCCACACAGGGACCCCGCTACTGACTCCCCACCCACAACCCCCCGGCCGATCCCAGGCAACCACAGGAGTGACACATCACAGAGCCCAAGGGTGGGGGGGCGGAAGGCACATCTGTGACGGGTCCCTGCAGCCTGAAACCTGCAGGCAGGAAGCAGCCCACTTGGCTAGTGGCCACACAGCTAAAGGGACCAGCGAGGAAGGCAAGGGAATGCTCTTGGGACCCATGATGCAGGCCAGTACTTCCGCTGTCACTGGAGGACCAGCCGATGGGGGTGCGGGAGAAGGATGGTGAGGCTCTGTCTTCCCAGAAGTACAACCACAGCAGAGCCTGCAGATTCGGATCTGGTGCCTCCTCCCCTCCTCCCCATGCTGCAGTGGGGCAGCATGGAGTGGAGCAGGAGTCCTCTGCTGGGAGCACTCTCCTTTGTAGAACCCTTTCTCCGGCCACCTCCTCCAGGGCCTGGCCTGCTGGCTGCCTCTTTCCGCTGGCACAGTCTCTTCATTTCAGAGCCTGCGCCTCGTCTCCTTGCTGCTTCACTGTGCAAGCAATCGTTCTCAAATGCAACCGCCAGTCCCCCATCATGATGGTGACCAAAGTGACCTGTCAGAATGGAACCCACCCATGACGCAGCCATCGGGTCAGAAGAACAGCTTGTGAGCTCGGGGGCAGGATGACATTCAAGGAAGAGCAGAGCACCTCCCTGTGGCATGTCTGTGACACACAGGCACAGCCTTGCCCTACCCTCCGCAGACAGCACTTCACCCTTGCTCTTCGCCCCGGCCCCTTGACGCCATGAAGCAGTTTAATAATAACCCCCAAGCCTGCCAACAACCAGAAATAGCTTCACCCAGCAGCCTGGCATGGCGCCGTTTATGAAATCCTGAGCTCAAGCGCTCCCAGTCCCCATTAAATCCCTGCCAGCTGGCCCTGTGGAGCCGGGGCGGCCACCAGGAGAGGCCCCCGGGCTGCAACGCATTCTCTCTGTAGATAGGACACTGGTTCAAGAGGCACAGGGGCCACTCAGCCACCAGATAATGAGGAGAGGTGGCTCTGGGTCCCCAGCCTGTGGCCTGTGCAGTCACAGCCAACCTCAGAGCACCTTTCCAATCTTTTCCAGGACTTAAATGCACCAGTTGGTTGGTTCACAAAGCTCCCCTAATGGAAGGTCTCTCTGTCTTGTGTAAAAAGCTGTGTAAACTGTGTCTCTGCATTGACTCAGTGTGGCCCTGTTTAATTTCCTGCCAGGGGATGCTCAGGGAACGTGACTGCTCTCAGGGATCTGAACATCATTTGGAGGAGAAAGTGCCCTTCTCCTCTGTGGGTCCAAACAACTAACCCCTCTCTCTTCCCCGCCCCATCCAAGAAAAATCAGGATACTACCCCAGCTTTTCAAAAGGCCATTTGCCCACGGGTGCTGTGTTGGGCTCCCTGGTAGAAGCCTTTGAACACGCACAGGCTTCGGACCACCTACTGACACCCTGACCCTGTGTATGAGCCTGGCGAGTGATGTCACTTCCTGGGGGAACTGGGACGATCACAAGAGTGACCTCACAGGTTGTTGTGAAGACAGAGAGGGTGCTGAAAGCCAAATCTGTGCTTGTGAATGAAATGCTCTACAGCTGCTCTGTCCACTGCTGGAGGTGTTCACGGCCATGGTCAAGTTCATGGACTTGGGGTCCAGCCACCCAGGTTCCAGCCCTAGCTGGATGAGCCTGTGCACAGAACTTCCGCAGGCAGCAATGCAACTCCAGGACATAGCAGCAGAGGGGAAGGACAGGCAGTACCCCAAGCCTGACCCAGCCCCGCCCAGCTCAGATACTCCCACAAAGAGCCCCCTAAACCCTCCAAGAGCTCTTGCTCCGGGCCCTCTTCCTGTGTTTGGAGATCACACATGTGCACATATTCACTTTATAGTCCAAAGGTCTCAGATCCTGTTTGGTCCCTTTCTGACTCCCCCACCCCAACCATGCTACTGTGTCACCCCTGACTTTTTGTGAGGGGCTGAGAGTGAGTCTGAAAAGCAGGGACCAAGGTGCTTTCTTTTCAGAACTCAGGGGAGAAATAGCAGAGCACATCTCGGCTCCCCTGTTATTCCACCCTGACCCCCAAATCCCCCTCCCTGGGAACCCAAGCAGGGCTCCCCCTGGACACAGCCCCTCTGCTGGCCACATGCAAGCCCTCGCTATGGCCATAAGCATCAGGGTGGAAGCCCTTTCTGGATTTCATACGATGTCCTCTGGGACCCTGTTGGCTGAGAGAAACACTGTCCGCTGTCCGAAATAGGTCAACCTTCCAGAAAAAGGGACTACCATCCCTCTCGGAGCAGTCCCTGTCACATGTGACTGCCACACCACTTCCCTTCTCCCAGAACCAGCTGCCTCTTCCAGAAAGCGGGAAGTGGGCTAGGGAGCCAGGCCCAAAGGTTCAGGTCTGATGCCCTTAGACACACTGGGAAGCAATCCTTCTCCCTGCCCGGGGGAGTGACAGGGTCACTGCTGAGTCCTGCCCAGCCTACAGCACCCTGGTCCAGGACCACCCCACCCCTGTCCATTGTAACCTGAGGGAATGCAGAGATCCTTAGAGCAGCGAAGCGCTTGGAGGATCCCTGAGCGGGATGGTCCCCCCTGTCCCGCTCAGGGATCCTCTCTGTCACAGGATCACCACTAGAAATGCTCCTCTTGCCCTCTGCACCCCAAGAACGGGTGGGGGGTCTCAGCAAGTGGGTTCAGGCTGGTGAGGGAAGCCCAAGCTCCCTCTAGGAACCGGATAGGAACTTAGCCTTGACACCAACACCCTTTGGCCGGGAGCACCTCTGCCTTGTCTGGGTCCCTCAGCAAACAGGGGGCCCAGTTCAGCCCTCCAACCCTCACCCCATGCCTAACCCTCGGCCTGGGCGCCTGGGCGAGCCGGCTGCGAGCGTGTCTAATTCGGTTGTAGCCGCCCCGGGCTCGCTTTGCGCGGTTCCTCTACTCGGTGCCCGTTTCGCTGCAGGTCTGTGCGCCTGCGGGCTCTGCCTCTCGGTTCCTGGTCCCCCTGTCCGTGCGCGCGCGGGCTGGCCGGGGCGGGCGCAGCTGCTTCCTCCCGCGTTCTCATTGGTTCGCCACCGCTCCGGGGGGCCGCCGCCAGCCCCGCCCCGGCCCCCCGCGGGGCCCCCCAGCTGTCTGGGGCTCAGACGGGAGCGCCGCGGCCACCGCGAGAGGGGACGGGGCGCGCTGCGGGCGACTCCGAGCGGCACGGTTGCTCCGAGACGCGGAGGCGCGGGAGGACGCGTCCACCGGGGCCGCCCGCACCGGGCACTTCGGGCCGCCACTGCAGCCTCGGGGGCGCCGGGTGTCTGGGCAGAAGCGAACCGGGCCGGTGACTGCGAGCGGCGGGGGCGTCCCGTCCAGCTCGGCGAAGGGAGGGCAGCGGCAGGTGGAGACGCCGGGGGGCCCCGGCCGGCACGAAGGCGGCGAGTCGGGTGTGCCATGGAGGCTCGGGGCGGCGCGGGGCGGCGCGGGGCCCAGTGAGGCGCCCGGGCCATGTACGGCGACGTGTTCAACGCCACGGGCGGCCCCGAGGCTGCGGGCGGCGGCGCGCTGGCCCTGGCGGCCACGGTCAAGGCGGAGGGCGCGCTGCCGCTGGAACTGGCCACGGCGCGCGGAATGCGGGACGGCGCGGCCACCAAGCCCGACCTGCCCACCTACCTGCTGCTCTTCTTCTTGCTGTTGCTCTCCGTGGCGCTCGTCGTCCTCTTCATCGGATGCCAGCTGCGCCACTCGGCCTTCGCCGCGCTGCCCCACGACCGCTCGCTGCGCGACGCCCGCGCGCCCTGGAAGATGCGGCCGGTGTAGCGCCCCGGGGAGCGAGGGCTGGGGGATGGGGGGTGGGAACCGGGCGGCGGGAGCTGCGCCCTGGGATCGCCGCCGGCGCCCTGAGCCCGGCTGACCCCCCTTTCCTCACTCCCGCTGCAGTCTGGGCGGAGAGGGCGTGGGGGGCGCGCAGAGGCGCATCTGGGGGTCCCTGTTCTAGTGACCGCGCGCGTGGAGGAACAAGGTTCTGCGCCCCTCGCCGAGCCGTCCTCCCCAGGGACAGCGGGGTGCCTCGCTGAGCGAAGGCGCGCGCCCCGACGCAGCAGCCTTCCACGCCGCCCGACTTCTTTGCTTCGCCCCGGGAAGAAGGCGCCGGCGGGACTAGCCACGGAACCGGCCACGAGCGGGCGGTCGGCACCGTCCGACCCTGCGCCGCCTTCCCGGGCTTCTGCCGCCAAGCACATCCTCTCGGACCCGAGCCTGAACTCAGTAAGACTTTGGAACGATGGGACTCGGGGCGCGCGCACCGCGGGAGAAGTGAGGGGACGCGGTTATTTGCCGAGGACCCCAGGTACTCTGCGATACGCAGGAGCGGAAGGCAGGGTGGGGAGGCCCGTAAAGGGGAGCAGGCCTTCTGCACCCGCAGCACCTGTGGTCGGGGATCCGCGTCCAGGGCCCGCAATTCTGCAATAAACCCAATTAAACTGATTAGCCCGGGCGCTGAGAACGCTCTGGTCATTGGTTGCGCCACTCTCAGTGGAAAGGGGGGAAAGGGACCGAGCTGATAGAGCCGGCGGAGGCCCGGGGCCATCCTCTCCCGCCGCCGCGGGGTCCCAGATTAGTGTGAAGGACAGTGCTTCCATCCCCCAGCGTGCCTCCCACCACCCGGGGGTTGGACAGTTACCGGCTCGGGGAGGAACTGCTTCATCTGCAGAATACATTTCCAGCGCTGGGGCTCCTGGGAGCCCTTCCTTCCCTGTCATGGTTCCTTCCACCTGGCTCTCTCCCTTTGCGCTCCCAGCATCCCTGAACCCCGGGAGATCCACCTGGTGAAAGAAGGAAAGCTGCCGAGGGTCAGGTGAAGGGAGCAGCTGCCCACCCTTCTTTCCAAAGCAGGCATGGAGGGTGCCAGCTCCAGAAATCCGATGGGAAAAGAAATGGACAGGTGGATAAAGTCAGTCCGCAGAGAGGGAAGAGAGAGCTGTGATAGCCTTAATCATTTTCAAAGTTAGGAAGTCTCCTCTGCGGGGCTATTAATAGATCCAGTCTTCTGGCTCTGCAAATGCACTAAGGTGAAGGGAGGAGGGTGATGGTTGGAGAAATCAGCTAATCCAGCAGTTCATAGTTGAAAGGATCTGACGCCACTGAAGTTTTGAGAATCTGAAAAATGCTAAAGGCTCTCGCCCTTAGAAAAATGCATAGACACAGCCAGTGTTTGATAGGGGCTTTCAAACTCTGAAAACTGGTCTGTGTGCTTTGGCGGGGGGCACTTGCTAGAGTCCAGTTTCCCTTTAGAGCTCCTCGGCCAGTGCCCAAGATTCCCAAATGGCCTCCACTCAGCAAAGCAGCAGCAGAGACAGGCTCACCTGTTAAGAGCAACGAAGCCTTAATGGGGTCAGTGCTAAGACAACTGGAACACTCAACTTGGACTTAGGGAACGGAGCTGTGGGTAAGCCAGCCTGTCTGTGCAAACCGTGACTGCTGAGATGACTGGGAGGAATTGTGGGGTCCCGGGCTGGCTGAATAAGATACCACATTGCTGATGGTGGCAGTGGTTGGGTGGGGTGGGGTATGGGGGAGGGGGCGCACCTTCTCAACTTTGATCTGAGGGTTGTTTTAGGAGATGAATGTAGAGGAAGAGTTTTCATCCTCATGGACAGAGCTGAAGGCTCAGAAGCAGGAAAGCTGCCTCCTGCCGGGCTTTAGTCCCTGCTCCGCAGCTCACGTGCTCTGCACTCCATCCGCGTGAGCCTGTGCAATGGGCATCAGCACTGCCTCACCTGGCTCTCAGTGCAGCAGGCGAGTATGTAGGTCTCAGCTGTCTTCTACCTCAGCCTTAGTCCAGAATCAGTGGCGCCAGCAGCAGACCCGCAGGGCCACCAACAGGAGCTGCTCTCACTAGGCCTGTCTTCTTGGACCACCAGGCAATGCAAGGCAGGTCCTAGCAGAAGAGAAATGAGTGCATGAATAGCTTTAAGGTCCCCAGAAGTTCCTAGACTACAGAGAATGCCAGATAAAATGCTGATCTCGGGCACCAAGGGCTTAAAGTAACACATGCTAATGGGGACAATCCAGAAAGTATCTGAGAGCTTGACAGGGTTGCACTGTCCTTAGCAGCCAAAGACCCCTTTAAAGGAACAAACAGTCCTGGAAGAAATGCCTGTACAATGGAGTTGGTATTTAGGAACCATATAGTTTCCTCACTAGGGAAAATGAAGACAACAAAGTTTACTGCTGCCAGCACTGTGTCTGGGGTACTTCTGTTCTCTCCTCGAGGCTAAAGTGGGACCAGCACTATAGTAATGAACGGGTCCAATTTTACATTGAACTTCACTGGAAAGGTCTAAGGTCATGACTGAGTTGAGGCCACTAGTGATATAATACCAGAGGGTTAGGTAGACATTTAGCTGGATAGGAGCAAGGCAGACGTCTGAGCATACATGCTTCTGCCCTTTGCTGTTCCATCAATCTCATGATACTCTGGAGCCCCCCCTTGGTATGGCAGGATAAAAACCAGAACAAAATTTGTGACATAGTTGTTTGAGCACCTCTGCCATAATCAGACACCAGCCATAGGTAAGAGGGTTGAAAAGACCTTATGATGACAGGTGAGCAGGGTGGAAGCTAGGGAGGGTGCTGCAGATGTCAGAAACCAGGGAGAAGCAACAGAGCATGATGAAGAACCTGAATCTGGGAGCGGGTAGCCTGGTCTTGACTCTGCACACCCTACCTCCATCATGTGTCTGCATTTCCGAGAGCCTGCCTCTTCCGCTAGCCTATGGACACAATAACAGTACCTGCTGCATAGGATTCCACACTTTGCATAAATCACTATAGGTGAATTGTTCGTCTCATGGGAGTTAAGCAGCAAGAGCTCTGAATGTGAGCTCTCATCATGAACCGGGGTTATTCTAGATGTGGTGGCAGTAGTGCCATCCGTGACTGCTCTCCCTTGGAGACAGACCAGCACACCAGTCATAGGGCCACCACACCCCAGCAGCTCTGCCCAGGTCATCCCACCCCCTGGGCCCCAGCTGTTTTCCATGTGACTCTCCAGATCCTGAGTGCATTCAACACCTTTGTCTGAGGATTTCAAAGGGTACCTTAGCCTCATCATCAGGGCCAAAGATGTGGCTCAGCCAGACAAACACACAGCTCACAGGCTTCGACCCCTTTCTTGGCAAAATAAATAGTAAAACAAAACGTAATCTTTCTACATAAATTAACCCTTCCTCCAGCCTTCTCCATCTTGGTAACATGCACCAGCATATAAAACACACAATGGTCACCCCCTACCCCAAACTTCCTCATCCTCTTACCATGCCCACCATCATCACCCCAACACTCATATCTATCTCTAACCTCTCTGACACTTCAAGACCTGAGGGGGCTAGAGAGATAATACACCAGGTAAGGCACGTGCCTTACACACCACCAACTCAGGCTCCAATCCCCAGCATCCCATAGGGTCCCCAGAGCACCGCTAGGAGTGATTCCTGAGTGCAGTTCCAGGAGTAACTCCTGAGCATCGCCAGCTGGGCTCAAAAGCAAAATAAATAAATAAAAAGCCCTTGGGACTGGAGAGATAGTTGCAGGGGGTAAGGTGCTTGCCTGGCAAGCAGCTCACCCTAGTTCAATCCTCAGCACTGCTTTTGGGCCTCCGAGCACCACCAAGAATGATTCCTGTATACAAAGCTGCCAGCACTGCTATATGTGACCCACCCCTCCCAAACAAAAAGCAGATTCAGAGATGATCTTTCCAGTAAAAGAACACAGAAATATTTAAAAAAATAATAATGTAGCACTATAGTACTGGCCTCCCGTTTTCCATCGATTTGCTCGAGTGGGCACCAGTAACATCTCCATTGTGAGACTTGTTGTTACTGTTTTTGGCATATCGAATACACCACAGGAAGCTTGCCAGGCTCTGCCATGCACACAGGATATTCTTGGTTGCTTGCCGGGCTCTCCGAGAGGGGTGGAGGAATTGAACCTGGGTCCGCCACGTGCAAGGCAAATGCCCCATCTGCTGTGCTATCACTCCAGCCCTGTAGCACTGAAGCACTGTCCTCCCCTTGTTCATGGGTTTGCTCGAGCGGGCACCAGTAACATCTCCATTGTGAGACTTGTTGTTACTGTTTTTGGCATATCAAATATGCCACAGGGAGCTTGTCAGGCTCTGCTGTGCAGGCAGAATACTCTCGGTAGCTTGCCAGTCTCTCCAAGAGGGACGGAGGAATTGAATCCGGGTCGGCCGCGTGCAAGGTAAATCCCTACCTGCTGTGCTATTGCTCCAGCCCTAAAGTAAATAAATTAATAATAATAATAACTACCAAAGAAACCAAGACCTTGACATTGACCTCTAAGACTTAGCACCACCCAACTCCACCCATCTCTGACGCCAAGCTGTAGTCAGTGAGTGTCCTCAGTTCTCTCCCTCAGCTGCAGCCTCCCCTGCAGACACATGCCATCTCATGCCATCACAGACTCAGCATTCGGACCTCTCTCCCCCACATATGACCTCATGAATTTTCATAGATTATTCACCCTCTCTCATATCCCAAATCTGCTCCCTTACCACAGCTCTTAAGTAACAAGAAACAAACGGATTCAGGGAGGCTGGGATGTCTCTCCCCTGCTGACAAGAAAGTTACATGAGGGCAGGGCCAGCTGCTTCACTGCCTGCCTTGCATTTTGACAAGCACGAATAGATGCTAGATGAGTATGTGTGGAATGAAAAAGCAGAAAAATCAGAGCTGGTCTATGGGTACTTCTTCAGGGCATTTTACCTTCGATTTTCTGCCTTAAAATTAACTTGTGTTATTTCAGACGGC